CGGTTCCTGTCCGAGACAAACCCAATTACTCTGAGCTCACACTAAGAGCCACTGTGTGCATCTTTTCATTAAACACCCCTGTGAGGGAGCACAAAAGGGGATTACCTTATAAATCCTTCCTGTTCTGGCATAGCTCCGTATTTTGTGGACATGCCGGCCAGCACGCAGGTGGAGCCGCGTCTCTTAGCGCACCGGACGCTCACGAAGTCCCGTGGTCCCACAACGTTACCGGGGGTCGCGGCCGCCTTCTCGTGGGTGATCACCGTGTCCTTTCCAATCTTCTGGAGAATCTGGACAGATCAGAATTAACACATTAATTTGAGGTATTTATTGCAAACGTAGCTTAAAGCTAGCTTTGATTACTGTGTGTTCAAACATGTGCTCTTACAAAAACTCAATGCTTATAGCGAGAAAAATTGCAAATACGCGTTTCATCCCAGAACACAGAGCATTCGTTTTCAATACCGGAGAAGGGAATGTGTTTCACTTATTCCAGACAAGCTATGGAAGAGCAAAATGCCCCTCCCTGCACGTTGGGCTACTGTGCTATTTCTCCTCCAGTAACAGTGCAAATTTAACAAGAGCCGTCCCGCTCCCTTGAAGCGCATTCCCTTCGGAACAGGTAACGCGCAGCCCTCCGTGGCAGACAGGCTCGCGCAGACTCACTCCTGCTGCAGCAGCAGCGCAATTACTGCAGCACAAACTCCACGTCCGCAGTCGGAACCGGACAAGGTAAAATCTGTCTTCTCGTTTCCCGAGGACCGGGTGGAGAAACCCCCGTCCCGCTGCTGTGACGGGCGAAGCGGTTCCTTGGCCCTTCCGACACCAGAGAGCAGCACGCGGGTGGGCAGCCCCGGCCGAGGCAGGTCTGACGTGCGCTTCCTACCTTGACTTCTTTGACGTTGGGGTTCCAGTCTCCCATCTGCTCCATGTTGTCCACCAGCTCACCGTACACCGCGTCCAGGGGCTGGTCCACCACCACCTCGAGTCGGAACACCTTGCCCACGTCTGGGAGCACCTTGCTCAGCACTTTGTCTCCGTTATTCTGGGAGAGGGGAAGGCAGAATGAGTATCGCAACTCTTTACAGGAGGACCATGTCCCTCTGCTGCAAAGCAGAGCACCTACCGCCACCGTCTCTGTCTTCCAGCCGTCCTGGTCCCCGAGGATGCTGAGGGATTTCTGGAGGGCTTCCTCTCCTTGCTTGATGTACGACATTTCCATCTCGCTGAAGGGCTTCTCCTCCAGCCGCGAGCCTGCACGGGATCGGACAAAAGCAGGAGTGAGTGTGAGAACGTTGCACAGTTCACTAACACATCCTAATGCTTTATCTACATCAAATACACTTCCCTGCACCCAGGGGACGGGGAAGTAAACTCAATTCCCGTGCTCGCCTGCCTTCACCCTTTGTTTAGCAAAAGCCCAGGCGACCCACGAGCCCTCCGACCACTCTCCCGAGCCCTGACCCAGGACGGTCACCACCCGGCGGGAAGGGCCGGACCCCCGGGCTGCTGGTCACTTACTGAGCAAGGAGCTTCTTCGGCGGACCTGGTTAATCCAGGTGCTGGGTCCCGTGCTGCGGCAGGCCAGCTTGCTCAGCTCCTGGCTGATGGCGACAGCGGCTTGTCTTCTCAGACCTGAGAGCAGAGAGAGAGCGCGTCACTCCCCAGCACCAGGCACCATAAGGTTTGCTGCTTTTTTTTTTTTTTTTTTTTTTTGGAAACAAAACAAACAGCACTGAAAAAAAAAAAATCTCTGCTCGCTGCCTTCGCTGAAGTCCCCACAGGCGCAGGGAGCAGCTGAGTGCCACCGCGCTGCCCCGGGACAGAAGCCGTCCTGGACAACCTGGGCTTTGCTCCAGGTCTGAGCCACGCCGCATGCGAGGAGCGAACGACAGGCGTAAAAATACCGAGGAGCAACCGTGCGGGTGCCCGGGAAAGGCCATAGGAAATAAAACACAAGAATACAGAATCCTCGCAGCCAGCGGGAGCGTTACCCTACAGCCATGCCCCACGTTCAGCAACGGCACCCAGCCCTGGGGACAGTAAAACACGAAACCCAAAAAGCCACAGGGCACGGGGTGGGAGAGCATCCCCGGAGCCTCCAC